ATGTATTTTCAAGCAATTTCCCTCCTAATAGTTTAGAAAAGGCCTAGAATTCAAGAATACAGAAGTGACCTTGAAGAAGAACCTTGAAGAAGGAACGCAAGAAGCATTAAGTTAAACAACGGGAAAGAAGAAGGGGTAAGAAAGAAACACCAGAAGGCAAGGCAAGAAACAACGGATGGAAACTAATCCAGGAGAGAAGGAACCTAGAGCTAAGGAGAAATTTCCTAATAGTGAGAACAATTAACCAATGGAATGATTTGCCTCCAGAAGTTGTGGGTGCTCCATCACTGGAAGCTTTTAAGAAGAGACTGGAAAGCCATTTGTCTGGAATGGTATAGGGTCTACTGCTTGAGCAGGGAATTGGACTAGAAGTCCTCCAAGGTCCCTTCCAACGCTGTCTTCTGTTAGTCTGTAACACTCCTCTTTGATTTTGTTTCTGTGTGAAGAAAATACTCCCAGCAATCTACAAATGCTTTCCATTTCCTTGTTTGTACAATTCTGCAGAAGACTACAATTCTTTAGCCAAGGATCTGAAAGAAATAGAAAAGAATGTTTCTGAGGAATCTCAGGAAACAAAACAGCACACAGTGCTGGGGCTGATGAAAAAAGCCAGAACTAAAAATCCCCACCCAGTTTTCTTCCTTGATGCAGCAAATAAGCATCAGGATTTGGAAAGAGGGAGAGAGGGGAAAAAACTTTACAGTGAACTGCCTTTAACACACTTGTATTCTGCATTTCTGTGTGTAAGAGTGAGGGAAAGAAAGAAGTTGTGCGTGACAAGGTGAAACATTAACATATCATTGGCAACAATTGTGTAAGGGGAAGGCCCCACAAGTATGTTCTTGACATGGGTTGTCCCTTAATAAGGATCAGGCCAGTCTCTGGTCAGCTAACGGTGAGGGTGCTTTGTGGCTTGACTTCACTCACCTCTCCAATATAACTTGGATTCCACATAGAACTGGCAGGCTACATTCCCTCCATTCCTGAGTAGAAGAAAGACCAAAGATGGAGAGAGGCAGCCTTTTGTTTCCTGGGTTCCCTTTGCCAGCCATCTTGCCCAGGGGTGAAATCCAGCAGGTTCTGACAGGTTCTGGAGAACCGGTAGCAGAAATTTTGAGCATTTCAGAGAACTGGCAAATACCACCTCTGGCTGGCCCCAGAGTGGGATGGGAATGGAGATTTTGCAGTATCCTTCCCTCCACCCCACCAAGACACAGCCACGAAGCCACATCACGCCCACCAAGACACGCCCACAGAACCGGTAGTAAAAAAATTTGGATTTCACCACTGATCTTGCCCTCCTTGGACCCACATAAGCCATCCCAAGACTTTACTGCAGCTAGCTGCACCAAAAGAACAGACATGCAAGAGACAATAATCAGCATTGCTTCAGACACCCCCATCCCTACTACAACAATCCTGGCTCTTTCTCCTGATCTTCCCTTCCCACATCATATTTCTTAGTCCAAAAGAAGGTTTCTAAATCAGCCATCCTAATGACCTGCCTTCATTTGCCCATCTCAACCTATTCCTGCCTCTTCTCCCCTGAGCAATTGGAATACCTTTCCAATTGGCAAGTAATGTTTGGTGAAAAGGGAAAATGAATTTGGAGAATCTACCAGTCACTTTCTTTAACTTATCCTGTATTAATACCTTTAAGGCCAGCCTTATTACTGAGATAGAATAACATTTGGCTAATTGGGACAGCAAATTTTAGGTAAGTATACTTTTCTATGTTAATGCAGCTATGGAGTTGCAACAGAATCTATCCTAAACCAAGTGGAAAAGATGGAGAGAATAGTGGACTTCCATAAAGTTCAATCATTGGCTCTGAACTCCTTCGCTTTTTTATTAACAGGTGGGAGGGAATGGGGAGGGAAATGCCTCTCAAGCTTGCAAATGTTAAAAGTGGGTGCCGTAGTCAGAAAAAAAAAATTGAAGTCAACAGACTAAAATGTACCAGGCAAATGCAAAATTATTCACTTAGGACATTGAAATCATTGGGGGATCCTTGGCTTGGCAATAACATGCATAAAACAAGCCTTGGATTAATAGTTGATTGCAAGCTGAACATGAGTCAGCATCATATTGTGGCAGCAAAGATTTTCCATCTTTGGGATAATCAATCCATTATCAGAAATATAATTTTAAATTGCCGAAAGAAAGTGTTCCATTTTATTCTACTCTGATCAGATTCAAGCAATTTGTCCAGTTTTTCTCCAGTGACAAAATGGATTCAAGAGGGAACAGCTTCAGAGAAAGACAACAGGAATGATTCGGAGACTTGTTCACCACTGACTTAGCATTTTAAAAAAGTGCATGTCAGTATTTTGCCATCAGTTTGGTAAGCCTCCTGTGGTTTGGCCTTTGTCCAATCCTTTCTATATCACTTCTTGCCTTCTGAGTGTTTATCAGTTTTGTAAATAATTTTGTCAATGATTTCAAAGTTGTAATTTTGGGACTTCCCCCAACATTCAAGACTGATCAAAATTTATAGACAAAAGCATTAGCCAAAATGATTTCTATGCTAGTAGGTAACGTATGGTCACATGAGAGGAAAACTTCAGTGGTACATTGCTGCTTAAATGTGTTCTGCAGCCGATTACAATTTAACCACTATGCTAACTAAAGGGCCAGCCTGAGCTATCTCCAACAAACACACTCCTCTAGGTAAATCTCTGAGTGTTTCAAGAGGGCAAACATGACCAGATCAACAGGTCCACAAAGGTGATGAGATTCAGTCAAGATACCTGATAAAGAGGAAGTAGCATTAGTAGGAGCTCCTTCCTGTTTATAAGCCAAAGCATCCTTAATGTGCAGTGCACTGTTAGCATCTTAGTAGTTCCAGCCTCCAGATGAAAATTGACTTGTTGTTAAATAAAAAGACAGCATGCAAAGAGGTCTTAGAAAGAAGCTAGCAGAGAAGAGCAACAAAGATGATTAGGGGACTGGAGGCTAAAACATATAAAGAACAGTTGCAGGAATCGGCTATGTCTAGTTTAATGAAAAGAAGGACTAGGGGTACATGGCATAGGACCTGGGTATTTGCAGGACTGCCTTCTGCCGCCGATAGCCCCCCACCGACCAGTACGCGCCCACAGAGAGGGACTCCTCAGGGTGCCATCAGCCAGGCAATGTCGGCTGGCGACCCCCAGGGGGAGGGCCTTCTCTGTGGCAGCTCCTGCCCTCTGGAACAATTTGCCCCCGGAGATACGAAGGATATCGGATCTCCGGGTCTTTCGCCATGCCCTGAAAACTTTTCTTTTCCATCAAGCAGGGCTGGCGTGAACCCCCTCCCCCCTTTTTAGTCTTTTTTAGTCTTTTAGTTTTTAAATTGTCATTGGGTTTTAATTGAATTGTTTTAAATTGGGCCAGTTATGTAATTCTTTTAATAATTTTAAATTTTGTATTGGCATGTGTTTTAGTTCTGGCTATGCACCGCCCTGAGTCCACTAGGAGAAGGGCGGTATACAAATTGAATAAAATAAATAAATAAATAAATAAATGATAGCGGTGTTCCAATATCTAAGGGTTTGCCACAAAGAAGAGGGAGTCAACCTATTCTCCAAAGCACCTGAAGGTAGGACAAGAAGCAATGGGTGGAAACTAATCAAGAAGAGAAGCAACCTCTAAGGAGAAATTTCCTGAGAATTAGAACAATTAATTAGTGGAACAACTTGCCTCCAGAAGTTGTGATCGCTCCAACATTGGACATTTTTAACAAGAGATTTGTCTGAAATGGTATCGGGTTTCCTGCCTGAGTAGGGGGTTGGATTAGAAGATCTCCAAGATCTCTTCCAACTCTGTTATTCTGTACTCTGAATATGCTGTTAAGTATTCTAGTCTCTTCTGCTCTAGCAAGGTTAATCCTTTCCCAGTTATCTATACAACTTGCCCATTTAGAGAAAATCTTATACTTAAGGAGTTCAGGGTTATGAATGAAAGCAAATATACATGTCCCAGGATAATGTTGCAGGATCCAATCTGGATCAGTACCTGGGACCAGAAGTCTAGTCTTCCGAGCTTTTGGACTCAGGTTGGAGCCCATCCTCAGGGAACTTCTCTCTAATGGAATGTTCAGGATTACATTGGGGGATTGAAAATCAAGTTTTGATTATTAAGAAAGGTTAGATATATGTTTAGCTGAAACGAAGCTATGAGAATACATATGCTTTCTTAAAGGGGAAATTTCAACAATGGCTAACAATCATGATTTAATCTTTTCTGTACTAGGAACTGCATGTAACACTACAAATACTTGATTCCTTCCTTATGTTTTACCAGATGACAATTGGCTTGAATATGGCTGGAACAAGAAATGCATATGCATAAATGGAGCGAAAGTTAATGTTTTAAAGCTCTGTCACTTGAAAGGTTTTCGCCGGCAGATTTCCAACCATTGTCCCTTGTGGTGACATTTACTCATTTGCTGCCATATGTTGGATTTGGTTGTGCCACACTAGGAAAGTTGTGGTTTATGTATCCAAAAGCTAAATCTGGTGCATAACTTCAGATGTACACAACTAACAAATACATCCTATAATAGCTAGAAATCAGCCTAAGATTTTCCATCAGTGTCAAATCTTGAAAACAGTTGCAAGAAGCTGTATATGAATTTAGCTAAACAATTCATTAAAAATATATTCCTCTCCTCCCCTCCCCTGTTCTATCCTATCCTTACTCTACCTTACCATGTCCTGTCCTGTCCTGTCCTGTCCTGTCCTATCCTTCTTTTCAATCTGTCTGTTTATCCACCTATATTTCTTAATAATACTTCATTTTTGATTAAGGAGAATTTCAGAATAAAAAAATCTAGCGAGAGGTCTTCTACCTTTCTGTTTCATCAATTCAAACATTTAAATGTTATTTTGTAAGATCATGAATTCAAGGTAATGTTTCAACATTTCGACCAGAGAAGAGAGGCCCAAAGTACTGAGAGAATATTTAACCCAATTTGGTTAATCTCCTTTGCTCGAGGCTTGTCTAACTAAGCTAAGTCAATAAAACTTTGTCCGCAGACACACAGAACTTTCAGCACACAACTTGCCTGTCCCAAAATGGAGTGCTGCAAATATATATTTGGATTAGTTTTCTTTCTCTACACAGGTATGTTTCTTTTTTGCTGCTTTTCAGAAGAATTGAGATAATAGAAGTCTCTGAAATATTACCATATTTAATGAGTGTTGGGACTTAACCTTGGAAGTTTGAATGGGCACATATTGGATAAATGCTTGATGTTACTAACTTTACATATAAAATACTAAATAATTACATTTCTGTTTCTAAAACCTTACATTACAATGAGATCTGATTTTTCTTAATGTTGTACAGTCCCAGGAACTAATAATGCTGAGAGAAACTGGCTGAAGAACGCTGTGCCCAATTTATTGTAAAATGAGATGTGAGCGTTTCTGCACCTAAAATTTTGCAAATTGTGTCCTGTATGCTTATGTAATGTTCAATAATCTAGGAACCACTCATATAAAGCAAGCATATTGTCTATGAAACATCAATATCGTATGCGACATTGCATCTTCTATTAATATTTATTACCCTTGGATTATATTCCTCTTCTTTTCCTCAAGATGTCTCTGGGTTGTTTAAAAATAATGTTACTGGGCAGGCAGGTTACAGAGCTAGATTTAATTAGTGGTGGGACAACTCCATCTTTTGTCAGAAAACATCACAAATTATTGCAGAAGTGGCACAAGCTAAATATGTTTCATATTGCAAGCAAGTTTTAGGTAAGTTTTCTAGCTAGACAATACCTTCTTAAAAGGGGAATTAAATGTTTCTGAATACAGTAAAGCTGAGAGCAGGAGCATGTGCAATTCAGTAATCCAGCAGCCATTTTAATGACCATTAGAGCCATTCTCCCCCCACACACAAGTTTTTTATTTTTTTATTTTTTACAAACATATCAATGCTTGAACAATGTGGCATCTGAGTGTCTTACATTTTAGTACAAATATAATAATATTCATCATATTTACTATGTTTGACAAGCTTATATAATTCTGGTAATAGTACACATATTTATCTTAAGTTATAATCTTTCATTATTTAGTTATTCAATATTTCAATGTGTTATTTTTATGCCAATCACCATATTCTGAGTGTCATTCCTTTTACTACAAATAAAATATTATTAATCATATTTGTTACATTTAGCAAGCTTATATGGTTCTAATAATACACATATTTATGTTGTTATAATCTTCCATTATTTAATTATTCAATATTTCAATATGTTATTTTTATGCCAATCACTATATTATTCAAGCATATTTGATAAAACCATCGTTCAAATTCATAATCTCCTTGCAGCTTCTTGTCAAAGTATCCTTAATACTTTGAATTATCGATGCTGTTCCTCCCCAAATTCCACTCCTTTCTTGCTGGTGGAGCATCTTGTTTAGTTTTATTTTGTCCCTCTTTTGTCTAATAATCCAAAACCCATATATTCAAACCTAAAGTCACATCTCAAAAAGTTCAATATTCATGAATCTTTACATCCCAAAGCTGATTGACCTGTGCCTCTAGATAGTCCCAAGAATTTTTCCAGAACCTTCATAAGTCCCTCTATAAATTCAGTCTTGTGTTGTAGCCTTCGGGGGTCACTTTAATAATAGTGTCTTTCTTATTCTCACGTTTCAATCTCCAATAGCTAAGTATTTCCAGGATTTTGAAAATGTGTTATGCCTTCCTTTTGTCAGCAGGTGGCACTCTTAGATCAAATTTCAATATTAACCAGTTTTATACAATTTTAATGGTAACAATCCAAAATATAAAGATGATATTAGTGTTTAAGTAAGTAGTTCCAGCATTTTAAAATGCCTATCCAAAACAACGCCTGTCCAGTTTAGAAATCCAATTTTCTGTATTTTTAAAGGTCTTTTAAAGGCCTTTCTCCCTTTGATTCTTTTTCCTTCAATTTTGAAATTCTTCTCAAAATGTTAAATCACTGCTTTTAAAAATAGCAGTGAGTATCTCTTTTCCTGAATATTCTTTTGGGGTTGAGTTTTAAATAAAAAGGATCCTTCTCACCCAATTCCAGACATTATTCACCAACTCCACTCCAGTACAGCTCTTAGATTTTCTCAGCTGTTCCAGCTTCATGGCAGCCATCTTTAGGCTGCCTCTTCTCGCTATGGCATAGAGGGAAAAAAGCCTGGGGTTCAGCAGTAGAGTTGCAATCTCTCCCATGACGTCTCAGGGCACCCCTCCTTAGCTTTGCTGCCCCTATAAGGCAGCTTTGACTCCTCTCGGAAGCACAAACAGAGAAAACTCAGCACAGGGAACGTGGAGACCCGTTCCCTGCATCTGATATTGCCGCGACGTCAGCCGGAAGTCCCCTATTAGAGCAGTTCTTCATCCTAAACCAGAAAGAAGACAGAACTTCTATAGAATAATTTTCAACACACCCCAGCTGTGTTTTGACTTTATTTAGCATATTGTTAGATATTCCAGATGGAGATAGGTTTCTGTCACTTAGGTTTTTTTCTCTCCTGTATCAGCAGTTTCCAATCACCAACTCACTACAGGGTCAGATGTTGAAGTCCATTAGGAACAGGAATCGATAAGGAGAATCCTGGAAGCTGGAGATCAACAAGACTTTTGCTCTTCTAAGCTTATTAAGACCTAGACGTTCTCCTGCTTAAATAGAAAATGCCTAAGACATATTATTCATACTACTCTGAGCTGAACCAGAAAAGAAAGGTAGAAACAAAACAAATAATAGTTTCCCAAAGGTGACCTTTCGTTTGTCTCAACAGTTTGCCATTGCACAAGGTTTACTGGTTTTGTAAGCCGCCTTGAGTCCTACGGGAGAAGGGTGGCAAATAAATAAATAAATAAATAAATAAATAAATAAATAAATAAATAAATACTGGAGACATTTCTTAAATGTAGCCAAAATCAAGCCAGTGAAGAAAGGACTTGATTTTGCAAAGTATCATTAACTGTGAAATAAACAACAACATTCTGGAACTCAAAATCTCACAATCTTTACTTTTCCCATGGATAAATAATGAAAGTGCTCTTGGGACAAAAAGTTAGCAATGAACCTAATGATGGGACACCTTTGAGGCACTGCCTTGAAAAAGTTGGTTTGCGGTCTCTTCCCCGTTTTATTTCCTGGCCTGGAAATTGAAGATTATCAAGACTCTTGTAAAGAGATAGAATGACATCCCCCCTTCACCTGAGACAGCAGCTGGTTTTCAGAAGAGACTGCATTTAAACACTGTTGCTTCTTCCAAAGACAGCGATAACTACATAAGGAAGTGCAAGGAACTGCAAGAAGGAAGCCAGTTTGGTTTAGTGTAGGGGTGAAATCCAGCAGGTTCTGACAGGTTCTGGAGAACCGGTAGCGGAAATTTTGAGTAGTTCAGAGAACCAGCAAATACCACCTCTGGCTGATCCCAAAGTTGGAGGGGAATGGGGATTTTGCAATATCGTTCCCCCAGGAGTGAAGAGGGAATGGGGATTTTGCAGTATCCTTCTCCTGGAGTGGGGTGGGAATGGGGATTTTGCAGTATCCTTCCCCTGCCACGCCCACCAAGCCACACCACACCCACTAAGCCACGCCCACAGAACCAGTAGTAAAAAAATTTGGATTTCACCACTGGTTTAATGGTTAATGCATCATACTAGAAAACAAGACACTGGGAGTTCTAGTCCTGCCATAGGTTTGAAAGTGGCTGGGGGACTTTGGGCCCATCACTCACTCTCAGCCCAACTCACCTTCCAGGGTTGTTGTAAGGGGAAATAAAAGGAGAGAGGTGTATTGGTATGTTCTCCACCTTGAGTTATTTATAAAAATTATAAAGGTGAGTTAAACCAAATCTAAACAAACAAGAAAGGATGTGTTGGCATTATTTCTCTCGCAAATATACTTACCCTTATTTGCTACCCAAGGCAATTATTTTTATCTAACTCAGTGCTTCCCTGCTGGTGAGTTTATATCAATAGAGACACTTATAAAACCAGCAGAACTGTTTAGAAGGATTCCATATCAAGTACTGCAGAAAAACGGTGCAGAATCTCAGAATCTTCCTTTGCTCTAATCATTCCATTCTCTGTAGCCCTACTCTCTCTTTCTAATAAGAAATCTAGGAATTATCATTCCATTTGCAGGTTTATCATCCCTTGCTCAGGGGTATCAATCTTTCATCTGCAGGCCAGTTATTCTACATCTGAATTCCAGTTCCAGGAATGTCGCCCTCCCACTCAGATCACCATACAATAAATTTGGGTGAAATGTCTTTCCCACCTGCCACTGGAATAATTAAAGTTTTCCCCAAGTGTTAATTTAACCCTGTGCACTAATGTAATTCTTACATATTCAGGCAATCTGTAGACTTTACATTCTGGTATACATGCTTCCCTGCATGCAGAATAAGCAAGTCTTTCATTTGGTGAAAAGTATGTATTTGGTGTTTTTACTTTCTAAATTCTTCTCTCTTTTCCCCCACTCTCAGTTCAAGGAGATATTCTGGACAATTATGTAAGGACAGATGGTGCTTGGATCCTTGGTCAAGAATCCACCACCTATAGAACTTTAACTAAAGGAGCTTGTGCTATCAAATGTGAAACTGAAACAGAATTTATCTGCAGGTAATCATAGGATTCTTGCATTTTATGAAAGTTGCTCAAATGTTTTGATTGTCGCTGATTATCTGAAAACTTCCTTAGAGACAAATGACATAGAATTCAGCTAATACTTAGAGAGCTTGATACAATGCAATGCAATGTACTGCAACAACTCTACAGGCAGTCCTTGACTTGCAACCACAATTGAGCCCAAACATTCCATTGCTAAGCAAGATAGATGTTAAGTGGGTTTTGCCTCATTTTACGACCTATCTTGCCATAGTTGTTAAGCGAATCATTGCAGGTGTTAAATTAGTAACACGGTTGTTCAGTGAATCTATCTTCCCCATTGACTTTGCTGGTCAAACAGTAGCAAAAGATGATCTCATACCTCTGGGACACTGCAGCTGGCATAAGTACATGTAAGTTGCCAAGCGGCAGAATTTTGATCACCTGACCATGGGGGTGCTTCAGGGGTGAAATGTTCCCAGTTCGGACCGGATCGCCCGATCCAGTAGCGATAGAGGCGGGTGGTTCGGAGAACCGGTAGCAAAAATCCCACCCCCCATGCCCAGCTGAGCGGCGCAATCATCAGAGGCTTTAAAAAAAAAAAAATTAAAGCATTTTTTCTACAACCTCTTCAGCCGAAAAAATACTTTTAAAAGTAAAAAAAAAAAAAAAGCCTCTGATGATCATGCGGCTCAGCTGGGATAGTCAAAGGCTTTTAACGATCCAAGCTGAGTTGCCTGATCGGCAGAGGCTTTTTTCTTTTAAATGCCTCTGACGATACAAGCTGAGTTGCCTGATCGGCAGAGGCTTTTTTTCTTTCAAAAGAAAAAAAGCCTCTGCCGATCAGGCAACTCAGCTGGGATCATCAGAGCCTTTTGAAAGCATTTTTTTTACAACCTCTTCGCTGAAGAGGTTGTAGGAAAAATGGTTTTAAAAGTAAAAAAGAAAAAAATTGGCCATGCCCACCCAATCACATTACCCCCCCCCCACCAAGCCATGCCCACAGAACCGGTAGTAACACATTTTAGATTTCACCACTGGGGTGCTGCAATGGTCCCAAGTGTGAAAAACAGTCATAAGTCACTTTTTATGACTTTTCTTGCCACATTTGTTAAGTGAATCACTGCAGTTGTTAAATTAGTAACACAGTTGTTAAGTGAATCTGGTTTCCACATTAAATTTGCTTGTCAGAAGGTCGCAAAAGAGGATCACATGACCCCAGGACACTGCAACTGTCATAAATGTGAATCAGTTACAGTTACAGGTAAGAGCCTGTAGTACAGTAGACTAAAGCACTGTTATTAACATCTGCTGCTTGCAATTACCGCAAGTTCAAATCTCACCAGGCTCAAGGTTGACTCAGCCTTCCATCCTTTCTAAGGTAGGTGAAATGAGGACCCAGATTGTGGGGGCAATAAGTTGACTTTGTATAAATATACAAAAGTATGAAGGCTATTGCTTAACGCATTGTAAGCCGCTGAGTCTCTGGAGAAGGGCGGCATATAAATTAAAGCAAAAAAAAAAAAAAGTTGTCAAGCACCTGAATGTAAATCATGTGACCATGGGGATGCTGCAATGGTCCTAAGTGTGAAAAATGGTCATAAGTCACTTTTTCCAGTGCCGTTATAACTTTGAACGGTCACTAAGCGAACTGTTGTAAGTCAAGGACTACCTGCATTAAGGACACTTGTGATTTTTGTATTGAAATGCGATTTGTTTCTGGTAGCAGATACCACTATGCAGCTATGTTTTGACATAATAGCAATCTCATGCCTTTTTAAATATGGCTCTTCTTTTTAAAGTACTGTGTTCTTGCTATATAAAATTAGTAAGAGAATCCTCAAAATTACGCATTAAGTATTGGCATTTAATCTGTATTAGGATTGGATCCAACAATCTCCTCTATCATAGCTTGAACCAGCAAAAAGGAGGAGAATCTTTTGCTCCTTAGCAATTCTTCCTCCGTCCAAATCTAGACTTTCAAGCAGGGTTGGGCTACTGGGGGTCCTCAGGGGTTCGGGAGAACCTCTAGCTAAGATTCTGTGCAGTTCAGAGAACCCCCAAATCCCACTCCTGGCTGGAACCCAGGAGTCCCCATGCGGCCTGTTTTGGATGCAGGTAAGCTCGGGGAGGCTCGGAGAGGGTGAAAAATGGGCTTACCGGAAGTTCAGGAAGGCCAAAAATGGGCCCATTTCCGTTTCCAGAGGGTCTCCAGATTCTGGGGAGGCCGTTTTTGCCCTCCCGGAGGCTCGAGGAAAACCTCAGAGCCCAGGAAGGGCAAAAATGCCACACCGACCATGGCCACGCCCACCCAGCAACTGAGCAGAGAATCCCTTGCCCATTCCTGCTTCCAAGTAAATTTAGTGATGGTATAAAGGGGTACAGAAGAAGAGGAGAGCCCTTAGCTCTTTATACAAAATTCAGTTTATCTGAGTTAGACTGGGTTTAATGCTGTTATTTTATGATTTTCCGCCTTCTTTTGCTTTTAATGTATTTTGTTCCTGTTATTTTATGGTAAATTGGATGGTGCCTCCAAATTGGACAAACTATACTTCTAAATAGAATGCAAATCAACCCTTGAAGTTTCTCGCCATGTACATGTATACATCCGAACTAGACTGTGTTGTTTCTCTGTGTCATATAATATATGTCTCTGCCCTTTCCACAGGGCATTTCTATTTACAGCGAAAGAGCAGCAATGCATTACGTTGCGCGACAATACTAAAACAGCGTCTGTGTTCAGAAAAGCAGGGGCCATTCTCTTTGAAAAACGAAGTAAGTGTACACTTTTGGATATTATGCCTTTTGCATAGAGGTGGGTTTCAGCAGGTTTTGACCAGTTCTGAAGAACCAGTAGCGGAAATTTTGAGTAGTTCGGAGAACTAGTAAATACCACCTCTGACTGGCCCCACCCCCATCTATTCTCTGCCTCCTGAGTCCTAGCTGATCGGGAGGAAATGGGAATTTTGCAGTAACCTTCCCCTGGAGGGAATAGAGATTTTACAGTATTCTTCCCCTGTCACGCCCACCAAACCACGCCCATAGAACCCGTAGTAAAAAAATTTGAAACCCACCGTTGTTTTTGCAGTTCCTTAGGGGACATGACGATTCATGAAATTTGGAAGTTTGGGTACTATGAATTTTGCAGGTGGTGTTTTTTTTTTGTGAAGGGAATTTCGACCTCAGGAGAAAAAGACTATAAAGTGATTTAATTCAAGGTATTGGTTGTGATATGGTAAAACATGGAAGCAGGCAAGAAACTGTTTATCTGCAGTTGTTTCAAAGCGCAGCTAAATATAAACCAATCAGTAGTCCTGTAAGATTTACCAATTAGTAGCCCATGTAAGCTGACAAATGCAGAAAACATTACAAGGTATTAGTTGGTGAATGGAACATGTTGATGGGGGGTTTTTTTGACTGATCCACATGTACAGATAATCCACAACTTCATTTAGTGGCCATTCAAAATAAAAATGGCACTGAAAAAAGTGACTTATGACCATTTTTCACACTTATGGCTGTTGCAGCATCCCCATGGTCATGTGATTTACATTTGGATGCTTGACAAGTGCTTCATATTTATGACGGTTGCAGTGTCCCAGGGTCATTAGATCATCTTTTGCGACCTTCTGCTAGGCAAATTTAATATGGAAGACAGATTCACTTAACAACCATGTCACCAATTTAATAACTGCAATGCTTCACTTAACATATGTGGCAAGAAAATGGGGCAAAACTCATTTCTCACAAATTTCTCAATTAGCAAATTTCTTGCTTAGCAACATACATTCTGGGCTCAATTGTAGTCGTAAGTCAAGGACTACCTGTAGTTTTGTAGTTGATGTTTAACTGCCAACAAAATGGCATTGGTTGCCCCCTCTTTTTCAGTGTCTCTCTCTCACACACACACCCGTGAGTCCAATATTATTTCATGAGATTGGGATACTCCATGAAGTAGTTTTAAAGACCATAAGAGCTACAACAGAGCAGGAAATGGTCCCCTTGATCAAAATTGAAGGTCACCCTCTGTATCTTTGTTTTTCATGGCATCCTCTATGTCTGTATTTACTGTATTTGCAATTGGAAAAAGAACCTGAGGTAGTCACCAATGCTGTGATTAAAGCAGCCCTTAATTGCATTTGGATAATCACTCATTTGTCGCTCAGCTCAAATTTCTATTCGGTGCTCAGGGAATGAGCATCAAGAAATCAGACCATTTAAAAAAAATAACCAAAATTTGGTTTGATTTATATTTATGTTGAATTAATATTAAAACTGGTTTAATATAATTATTCTCTAGTCACCCATTTAGCATTGCATCCCCCCTGAACTATAATCATCTGCCAATAATTTTGAGACCATAGCTAGAGGTAGAACCTACCAACTTTGGCAAAGCTGAAAAAAGCTAACCAGCATTAGATCCAGCACCCAGATGGGAGACCACCAGAAAATCTCAGGATTGCAATCTTGATTGGCAAATTAAAAAAAAAAAAAAAAGCAGAAGGTAATGACATACTTTTTTCATGTTGTAGCCATGTGGTCCCTAAAAATCAAGCTCAGCTTGAGAGAATCTTTACCTTTTTAACTAAGTTTGTTAAACGTTTGCTTGTAATCCAAAATTTGCAATTTCATGATCTCAGGTTGCGATCCCCTAATTCAACTGAACATGAAGGCCACATATTAAAATGTTCAACTTGATCACACCGGGGTGGAGTTCCATCTGTAAGCAATGATTTTTCTTTGGTGGAAAGGTGTTCTGTGATAACAATAGCAATTTTTAATAACCACATTTTCTTTCAGTGTATCTCCTGGAATGCAGAATTGGAACTGGAGTGGACTACAGAGGAACAGAATCAAAAACACAGAATGGTGTAGTATGCCAGAAATGGACCGATAACAGTCCTCATATTCCCAAGTATGGCCTTTTCCCATCTCAGCAAAACGGCCTTCGTTTTTCTATAGCCATATGAATTAAGAATGATTTGACCTGAATTTTTGTAGGAAACGTGTATAGCACAATTCAAACAAACGTTAGCCATGGCTAAGGCTGCCATCTTCTGCTTGCTTACCTGAAAGGAATTAGCTGTATTGAATTCAGCAGGGTCTTCAGAATCAGTAGTGGGTTTCACTTACCTTCACTACTGGTTCAGAACTGTGAGCGCGCACGTGCAGTGCTTCTGCACATGTTCAGAACCTTCTGTGCATGTGCAGAGTGTCTGTGATGATATCTGGGTGGGTGGGCAGAGCTTCCCGCCGCCACCACTACCGGTTTGTGCGAACCGGGGCAAACCGGTAGAAACCCACCTTTGTTCTGAATAGAGATTTTTAAAAATTATTTTGTAATTAAACTTCAAAGCTGCCCACCTCATTGAGATGACTCTAGGATCTGCTTTCTTGTACCATTAATAAGAGCAAGTTTACGGAACAGTTTTCTGAAAGTGCATAGAATACAGTGAAGCATATTAATGACCCTTAACTAGAATTTCCATTGGCTTCTCTCTATTCCCACATGTTGCAGAAAATATGATTAAATGCTAATATATCTGAACTCCAGCTGCATGAAATAGCTGTTGCTGATTTTTTAAAGCTATTCACAAAAGCTTTGAATTAGTACATGTTCAATACATTTTAAAACACTTTTTTTAATATTATCGTTCTCTTCTTCACTTATTACAAAATTATCATAGTGAGTGACAGCTTCTGGCCAATTATTTCTGTTCTTGAAAAAAGCTAAAACCATTTCTGAATCATTGCCAGGAAAACTTCATACCGTGGATGCACATGATGTTGCTGTTGCTGCTGCTGTTGTTAAGTGACATTGTTCACTTGTGACACTTGTTAAAAATTGCAAGACTTTATTTACTAAAGTTTGACTTGGAGGACAATTTGGGAGATATATCAACAATGGTATATGGTATAATTTAGTGCTTTTCAAAGTTGGCAAATTTATGATGTGCGGACTTCAACTCCTAGAATTCCCCAGGTAACATGCTGCAGTTATGTAAGTAGAATATTGGGGAAAGCAATGGTATAAGCAAGAAAGAAATGCTTTTACCCATGTGAAATCCCTAAAGAGAAGCACTGTCTTTCCCTTAAAACCCTCCCCTTTCCCCCTGAGATGGGGATGGGGAAAAGGTGAACAACTTCAACTTTAGCTTCCTCTCCTGTTTAAAGTACTGGAAGCCTCCAGCAGTTCTAAATGTTTTCTTTTTAACAGGTTAAACTGTGTCCTGTTAACATTTCTTTGTCCAACCCTGATGTCATTCAAATAATGTGTAAAATATCTAGGATCCATTTACTCTAGTGAAATTGAAATTTCCACTAGTTCAGATCAGTTTTATTTGCAAAGTGGTGGCCATTACAGCATCTCCAGGGTCATGTAATCATGATTTATGATGCTCTCTGACAGTTTCCCCAAAGAAAAGTCAATGGGGAAGCATGCGGGAAGTCAGAAGTTCCCCCTACTCTTGTTGCTTTTTTGCTTGCCTGTGATCATTCTGTTTACCTGTTTGGATCTTTCTTCTTTAATAAACTGATACTTTCTGCTTTAGTTTTCAAAGCAAAGTGATAGCAATGCCATTCAAAAACAATTTAATGTTCATTCTGGTCAAATCAGACTTCACTACCCTGCTACCAGCGGATGATTAAATGAGTCATAGGGTCGTCTAATACAACTTAATCTTCTGAATCTCTGAGAAAAAAAAGTATGACTTCTGTAATAATAGTCTTTTCTTTTGTTTTTATTAGTTTTACACCTTCTCTGTATCCTAATGCTTCATTAGAAGAAAACTACTGCAGAAATCCAGATCACGATGTTAAAGGTCCCTGGTGTTATACAACAAATCCTGAAACCAGATTTGATTTTTGCAACATTCCTGAATGCGAAGGTAGAATTGCACACACTGGAATTTTAGTTCCTCAAGAAAATTTTGAATGCGAAGTATTGTTCTTTTCAATGATGTATAGGTAGAAAACGTATTTTTCTTACCTGCACTGTACAATTTTTAGAAAAAAAAGTAAACATTGGAGTAGCACTTTCTTATTCAAATATAAGATAGAACATGAAATAATGCTAGCATTTATTTAACAACCGATAACCGAATAGTTTTCCAAGTAAATGCCAATTAGATGTGATGTTATTTCATTCTTTTTTGTGGTTATTTCATTCTTTTTTATAAATAGAAAATATTTATTTTCTATTTCAAATAAAATAAAAACATGAACTAAATTATAATAATATCATTGAAGTGATCATATAATTAACCTATGTATGTTTCAAGATATGGAACAGGTTATGTTAAATAGCAATAGATTTATTCTCAAGAAATGTGAAACTTCCCGAACAATAGCATTTCATAAATAGAAATAGTTTGATAATAATGAAAATGATAATATTTTGAAATATTTACAACTAATAGAAGTTGAAACATTTGCAAATCTAAGATGGTACAAATGTTGTTATATTTAAAAGCTAGTATTATATTTAAGCTATTACTAGTCAATAATTTGTTGTTCTTTTGTTTGTAAATGCCTCTGTTTTTTTTAAAGGCAAAAGTATTGTATAATGGAGATGAACTTTATTACAATAAATTCCCTGTAGGCACCCATTGGTCCATTTACACCAATGCATGTCTATACAAATGCCAGATTTATGCAAAAGTTTGCAAACCATTGAGCAAAGTTAGAAGTTCTGTTAGTAGTGTCATATAAACATTGTAATACACTGGAGAAAAGCTCCCCATTTCTCCTATTGTAATATCTTTTTAAGAATTTGGCAAATCATCATGCTATGCCTGCAAGGTGCTAAAGATTATCATGGTCCCTTGAGATTTAGCACATGAAAAAATAAAACAATAAATAAATTACCAGAAAAAAATTGCATATCAGCCCATATTTGATCACCTCAAAAATGATTCTCTTAAGACAAAAACAAGAAAGAGGAAATAATTCCATAAATCAAAAGACAATGTCAATAGATGTGTTTATGTGTAAGGCCTAGAGTGTATGTATGTATGTATGTATGTATGTATGTATGCATGTATGTGTATGTGTATATATCTTCTGTCTTGGAGACTGCTGGGAACAGTCCCTGCAGTTTTCTTGGCAAGGTTTTTCAGAAGTGGTTTGCCTTATTTCCTTCCTAGGGCTAAGAGAGAAAGACTGATTCAAGTTCACCCAGCTGTCTTTGTACCTAAGATGGACTAGAACTCACAACCTCTTGTTTTCTAACCTGATGCCTTCACCATCAAACCATTTACACCAGGGCTGTCAAACTCAAGGCCCGCAGGGTGCCTAGATCTGGCCCACAGGGCCACCCTGGAAACAGCAAAGGACTGGCCCACAGTGCGTCTGGCAGTTAAAATGGAGCTCAGGTGGGCCACCTTCCCAAAGCTCCATTTTCACTAGCAAAGTGCTCAGGCCACCACAGGTACTCCCAACACGTGATGTTAAGCTGGCCATGCCCCCCCATGCCCCCCCTGAGGTCAAACACAACCCTGTTACAGCCCTCAATGAAATTGAGTTTGACACCCCTGATTTACACTATAGTGTAAATTAGGCATCTATAAAGACAAAATGAAAATATTAATTTGTAATTCTGGTTTAGAGTTAACTCAAAGCAATTTCAAGAACTAGTCCTCACCATTCTAGATTCCTTATAAAATGAAAAATGTGATTGTTGAGCAATCTAGGATAACAGATCCCATTTCAGACAGCAGAAGACTTGGGCATCATGATTCCTACCATCCAGAGGACTGGGGGGGAAAATAATCTAATAGGATAAAGCTTCTTCACTCACAGTTATTTATCCTTACAGAGAAGTGTATGCACTGCAGTGGGGAAAACTATCGAGGCAAAGTTTCCACAACAGAATCTGGGCTCACCTGTCAGGCATGGGCTTCTCAAGAGCCTCACGCTCATGGATACATCCCTTCCAAGTAAGTCTACAAGTCTCAGATTCACTCATGGACCCTTATTAGCGACATATGAGGAAAAGTCAAAGTGGGGTGTGTGGGAAACAAATAATTTCAGATACCTGATTCCTTGAAAATAAAAATAACAGCATACCTTATTTTTAATGTAATATATTAAGCAGCACACATTGTTCACTGGAAAGACTTTTAGTCCGAATTTCATTAGGGTGACTGAAAGTAGTATTTTTCATCCATATCAGAACTAAAGGCTTTGTCATCTAAGGCTTTTCTTTTTTTTTAGCTCAAAGATGTAGTCTGAACAGAAATGATGTAATTTGATATGCAAAGATATCTGTTCAGAGGGCAGGTGGTTGAAAAAAGTCAAGACCCTAGGTGTGACGGCACAATAAAAGTTATTGTTCCTTTTTACACATTATAATCAATGCATTCAATCACCCTAGCATTACTATCTTGGATTTACACACACACACACACACACACACACACACACACACACACACACAGAGAGAGAGAGAGAGAGAGAGAGAGAGAGAGAGAGAGAGAGAGAGAGAGAGAGAGCTCAACACCCACCATTACATAATTTTCTGTGGTGATACAGGTAGTCCTCAATTTACGACCATAATTGAGCCCAACATTTCTGTTGTTAAGTGAAACATTTGTTAAGTGAGTTTTGCCCCATGTTACTACTTTTCTTGCCACAGTTGTTGTTTTCTTGTCACTGAAGTTGTTAAGTGAATATCGCTTCCCCATTGAATTTGCTGGTCAGAAGGTCACAGGTGATCATGTGACCTCAGGACACTGCAATTGTCATAAATATGAGTCAGTTGCAAAGCATCTGAATTTTGGTCACACGACCAAGGGGCTGCTGCAATGGTCATAAGTGTGAAAAATGGTCATAAATCACTTTTTTCAATCCCGTTATAACTTTGAACAGTCACTAAATGAACTGTTGTAAGTCGAGGATTACCTGTATTGGGCTACATCCCCCCAAAAATTCTGGTTATCGAAGGGAGTTTTCCTTTTGCTCCTCTGCCTTTATTTCCCACGCATCAAATCTGAGTATTCTCTGAACTACCAGAAGAGATTAACGGGAAGAAATTTGAGATCATAGAATGTGATACTGTGGAAGGGGAATACAGATATACATTATCTTGAATGAGCATCATTCGGTCCACATTGAAACACCATTGGGTTCAATCCCAACCTGTCAAGAGATGGTAGGCAGACATTTCTACTTTTTCATCCAATATTCAGATTTCCAGAAAAGAATCTGATATCAAATTACTGCCGTAATCCAGATGGTGAACCACGTCCTTGGTGTTTCACTTCCCTCCTGACGAAACGCTGGGAATTCTGTAACATTCCATGGTGTGGTAAGTATCATTTATGTAATTACTGACCCGCAATAGTTATGATATAGTAACAATTCTGTGGAGAAACCAATGTTTTAATTCAGGTAGGAGAGTTTGGGGGATTCCCTTTAATCTTATAAAATTCGCTGCAGCTTTTTAAAATGGGTAAACTTAGTGCCGAGCCTCACATAACTGGCAAACACAACCACACATATTTCAAAAAGGCATCGTTAATGCTGCTCGGGGGAAAGATATAATTTGGAAAATAAAAATAAGCTCTCAAGCAGATTTATAGCAGATTTTTTTTTCACTGTCACAGAAATATGAATAAATATTAAATGATATAACCATCAAATCACCAAGATTGTAACTTAGTTCAAGTGAAATATTAATCTAAATATTTTAATAACAGGCAAACAATTATTCAGTATTCAATTTAATAGCTGGCTATTAATAGCTATACTGTAATTAAGGTATTACAATATAACATATAACTTGAACATTATTATTCTATCTATGGCATAATCCATACATTCCAATTCAGTGCAATTTATTATTCTGTGATCTCTCTTTTATAAAAGAAAAATATATACAAATATATATTTATACAAATAGAATATATAGGCTCTTTCAAATTAGCTTTTAAGAAAATAGCATATATATTCTATTTGTCTATGTCACATATATATTCTATATGTCTATATTTCCAAAGTAGGAAGTATGATACAGGTAGTCCTCATTTAGTGACCACAACTTGTTAGTGAAGTGGTCGCTAAGTGACACTGTGACTGTACTTATGACCTTACTTCAGCTTTCCTTTGCTTTACAGACCTGCAAAGGTCATAAATGATTGTTGTTCAAAGTTATTTTTTATTGTTGTGCTAACTACAAATGGTCACTAAATGAGGCAGTCACTAAAGGAGGACTACCTGTGATACTTTTTTCATATACAGTAGCTTTTTTGGCTTTTTACATCTGTAAACTGCCAGGGCCTTGCCATTTTTAGCATACAGATTCTGATGGTGCTGATTTATTTGATTGTATATTACATTTGCGGATATAGCTAAGTCTCCACCAGCTATTACGGGCCACCAATGTCTTGTGGGAAATGGAGAAGATTATCGAGGAAATGTAGGAGTGACCGAATCAGGAAAAACCTGTCAATCATGGGCATCCCAAGAACCTCATACCCATGGAAGAACTCCAGAAAACTACCCTTGCAAGTATGTTAAACAGCCCTGTCATCACCTTGTTGCTACAGTAAAGAAAAAGGCAAGGCACCCAGAAAAAAAATCAGTTCAGTTATTTTGCTTCCAAGACAGCAATAGTTTACATACCACTTCACAGTGCTTTATAGCCCTCTCTATGCTGTTTACAGAGGCAGCATATTGCCCACAGCATTCTGGACCCTCACTTTACCCCCCTCGGAAGGATGGAAGACTGAGTCAACCTTGAGCCGGTCAGGATCAAACTCCTGGCAGGGGGCAGAATTAGCCTGCAATACTGCATTCTAATCACTGCGCCACCATGGTTCTGTTGCAGTACTGGGTTGCCCCACCGGTTCTATAGAACTGGTAGTAAAACTGGCGGGAGGCTCCACCCACCGACCCCGACGTCACTAAAATGCTTCTGCGCATGCGCAGAAGAGCACGAGTGTGCGCGGCTCCACTGCAAACCGATAGTAAAGGTAAGTAGAACCCACCCCTGTTCTGTTGGAGCTGCGTCTTTTATCACACTTTCTGAAAATCCAAGCGAGGGCATGTGAGTTAAACAAGTTTCAAACAGGAATTCTGTTCGAAATTCAGTCTCAGGTCCATCCTGCTACCTGAGGACTTGGCACTTAACAGATATCACATCTACTAAGTAGTATGCAACTTGTATTAGGCATCTTAAAAAACAAGCTGAATTCATTTAGATGTGGTAGATCACATAAAAGCTAAGTAGGCTTGATCTGGTTAGTACTTGGATGGAAAGCCACTAAGAAATCTCAAGGAATCTTTCTCTTCTATCCTCAAAAGGATGGGAGGAGTTAGTGACAGACTATTTCAATGCTGTTGCTCAAAATACCCCACATGGATGTATTCATATAGTCAAGGATCAATTTTATCTTTTTTTTCATATTTTATTTATACATTTTTAATCAACATAAGTGATTAATGAACAGTGCATTGTGTGAATCATTTTGCTTATACAGTCTAATATTAATAATGATAATAAGGGATCAAGTTTATCTGAAAGAAGGCTTCACCCCGACCTTAATTTGGGAAGGCTTGGTCTAAGAAGTTAATGGTGCCCAAACTTCATGAGGAGAAATGTAACCTAAGTCTGTACTCTGATTTTTATCCTGATCCCCATTTTCAAAGAAGCCAGTATGCACAATGGACAAAGGAGAGTGTTCAAAGGAAATAGTCTTACTTAACATCTTTCAAATAGTGGATCGTTCCATATTGTGCCAAGCTCCAACATGGCTTATTTATTTATTTTTGGCTTAATTTGATGCATGCATCTTTCAATCATGGTGTATCATTAGTCATTCATCAATTCATTCAATTCTACAAATGCTCATCATAGTCAATGTCTTTGGATGGCTTACAATTAAAAAAATGTCAGTCAAAATATAAATATTTTAAAACAATAAAAATAATAAAAACAATAGAAACATCCAAAATAAATATACACAGCAGCCAAGTTATTTGGTCAGTTAGCAATACAGCCAGGAAACATTTAGTGTCTCAGGCACAGGAACTTAGTCAGGTTTTTAGGGCCTTACGAAAGGCTAACAAGATTGGGGCCCTTCTAATCTCTAAAGAGAGAATGTTCCATAAAGGGGGAGCCACTGTGGAAAAAATTCTGACAAATAACAAATTACATATGGAGCAGCCGCCTATGGCTTCCTTAACAAAACCTTGAAAAATCCTTGTTATGAACCCAACCGTTGCATTAAAAATGGACGAATTAAATTAGAATCTGAAACTTAATGGAGAATTTGCACTTTTTTTTTAATACCTGTTTTCAGGCTACTAACTCAGACTTCGTGTAATGTTTACCTCTCTCTTGTTCCTCTCTTGCTTCTATGCACATTTTATTTCAGAGGTTTGGAAGAAAACTATTGTAGAAACCCTGATGGAGAGACTCGGCCTTGGTGCTATACATCTGACCCAACTATACGATGGCAATACTGCAACATTGCTAAATGTGATGATGTCATCACAGTTACTGGTAAGAATATTTATATTTGTATAACTGAGAAAGGGGTGAAGTAAATAAAATGTTTTGAACTTTAAAGCAAAACTAAAATAAAATTGAGAAATAGCAATAGAAATAGACTTGGCAAGTTGAGTGAATTCAATATGATTTATGTTTGGCATATTTTAAATACAGATGTTGTTGTGCTTATTATATAACCATTCCGTATTTCATATTAGTGCTTATTTACAGAAAATAACAGGATCAATTCAAAATGTTAACAGAAGTCTTCTAATTTTAGAAATACAATCTGAAGCGCAGCTATTAAGAGGAGCATGAGAAGAACTTTCTTCTGGTTAAAATATTTTGGATAGTGGCTTGGAACTACTACATGCTTGTAAAACAGAATGCACTTTATATTAACAAATAAATCAATAATATATTGTCACCAAAATCATCAATCAATAAAGAAAAATAGGAAGGGTTGCACTGTTATTACTATACAATTATGTAAGAATGGGACATTGATAAGATTGATTATAAAGCCTTTGGCAACAAAGAAGATACTATGATTTCCGACAAGTTGTTTTTATTTCTGCTTTTTTTCCCTTTAATGTAGCTGCTGTCCCTGTTGTTCCTCCCCAAATACCTCCCCAAGTACCTCAACAGGTACCTCAACAGGTTGAGGATTGCTATGATGACAACGGCTCAAGTTATCGGGGTACTACTGCAGTGACTACCACAGGGAAGAAATGCCAAGCATGGATTTCTATGCGGCCCCATCATCACACTAAGACACCATCTGCATTCCCAGATGCGTAGGTTTCTTGAAGTGTTCATTATCTGTTATGTGTGCTGGCCATTAAATGTCAAAATTCCCCTGGATACAAAATAGCCTTATTCAGATCATACACAAAACGAACAGTGAACAGTCTCTCCTCTCACCAGTTTATGACAGTGATTTCAGTATGTAGCTGATCTCCATGTGGAGAGATCCATTAAAGATCCTTTCCATGAGCAATCATGCTATGTACTTGGGCAACTAGCACCTCAGAGATACTCCAGCCCTATTTACAAAGAGGAAGAACTGCTCTTGATTGTTCTTCCACTTTACTTTGGATAGAATGGGACTTCTTATAGGTGTGATCAAACACAAAGTTCAAATACTTTGGTCACCAAATGAGAAGAAAGGACTCATTGGAAAAGACCCTGAGTTTGGAAAGATTAAAGGCAAAAGAAGAAAGGGACAGCAGAGGATGAGATGACTAGATAGTGTCATTGATGCACTGAACATGAATTTGGACAAGCCTGGGGAGATAGTAAAGGATGGGGGGGGCTGGCTTGTTAAGGTCCATGGAGCCACAAAGAGTGGGACATGACTTAGCAACTGAACAACAAACATGGGTGTGATAAAACCTGCAGGGTACTGAGATAGTATTATATATTTTTATAACTACATAATACTTAGGAAAGAAGAAAACAATATGGGACAAAGAGAAAGCCACACATTTATCAGAACATGTAGATTTGTTGGCAGTTTTATCTGAAAATTTGATAGGAATTTTTTTTTACCTCGTCAATTAACAGAAATATTTAATATGACTATTATAAAGATATAAATATGTATTAGATGGCAAATAACCAGAACTTGTAGAACATTGTTCTATGATGAGAGATGCTCTTCTAAATGTATGGTCTTGAGAATTCATTCTTTGTCTATGGATATTCTCACCCAGAAATATTCATGATGTACTTCCATCACCAAGTTGCCCGTCTCTGCTCTATAACGTAAGATTTAATCCACTTTATGCATTTATTAATAGGGACTTGAGAAGGAACTATTGCCGAAACCCAGATGGTGACAAAGCACCCTGGTGTTATACTACTGATCCTGGGACAAGGTGGGAGTACTGCAATCTGCAGAAGTGTTCACCGGAAACTTCGCAGTCATTGGCACTAAACATTGGTATGACTTCTCCTGTTCTCCTAGAATAAGCAACCAGGCAAAAGCCACTCTTAACCTGTGAACACCATTGTTTTCAATGCAGAAAAGAGTGACCTAGTGGCTGGACATAACTCCATCTCAAGCCATGAGGTTTTAATGAGACCATTAGCCACGTTCATTATTCTTTCTATTGTGTTCTATTAATTTTTCAGATAATTATTTCTGAAAAATTTGTGCATAAGAGCAGAGGAGCTAATAATAATAATAATAATAATAATAATAATAATAATAATAATAATAATAATAATAATAAATATTATTATTATTTTATTTCTATACTGCCCTTCTCCTGAAGGACTCAGGGCGGTGTACAGCCTATTTAAAAACAGAATCAACATCAATTTAAAATAATTTAAAAATATTAAATAAAATTGGCTTAATTTAAAACCCCAAAAATTTAAAACATCCAATTTAAAATTATGTTGCTAACCCAGCCTGGCGGAACAACAGGGTCTTTAGTGTGCAGCGAAATACCCGGAGGTCAGAAATCTTACGAATTTCCGGGGGAAGTTCATTCCACAGGGCTGGGGCTCCCACAGAGAAGGCCCTCCCCTGGGTGTCGCCAGCCGACATGACTTGGCCGATGGCACCCTGAGGAGACCCTCTCTGTGGGAGCGGACTGGTCGGTGGGAGGCTATCGGTGGCAGAAGATGGTCTCGAAGGTACCCGGGTCCTGTGCCATGCAGTGCTTTAAAGGTGGTGACCAACACCTTGAATTGCACCTGGAAGACCACTGGGAGCCAGTGCAGCTCGCGCAGGAGGGGTGTCAGGTGGGTGCAACGGGTTGCACCCATAACCACCCACGCGGCCACATTCTGGACCAGTTGGAGCCTCCGAGTGCTCTTCAAGGGGAGCCCCGTGTAGAGAGCATTACAATAGTCCAACCGGGAGGTAACAAGGGCGTGAGTGACTGTGCGCAGGGCGTCCCGGTCCAGAAAGGGCTGCAACTGGCAAATCAGGTGAACCTGATAAAAGGCCCCCCCTGGCCACGGCTGTCATATGCTCTTCTAAAGACAGCCGTGTGTCCAGGAGGACACCCAGATTGCGAGCCCTCTCTGTGGGGGGCAAAGATTCACCCCCAATAGTCAGCGATGGCACCTGTTGACTATATCGGGACGCCGGAAGCCACAACCACTCGGTCTTGGAAGGGTTGAGTCTGAGCCTGTTCCTCCCCATCCAGACCCGCACGGCCTCCAGGCAATGAGACATCACATCAAGGGCATCGTTGGGGTGGTCTGGGGTGGAAATGATTAGCGCTTAGAATTCTGTGGGTTCTTTTTCCTGCCTCTCCTCTCCCCTCCTCTCATTTAATTTTGATTTTTTTTAAGGAGTTTGGTACCTTGAGCTCTCCATACTTTATTCTTAATATGAACCTTCTCTTCCTAAACTTTCTTTATTCTTTGTCTATACTTTAATAGAAGTCATATTCCATTTCTAATGAATTTTCAGTGACAATTAGATAAATCAGCTCATCTGAGAGATTTATTTCAAGACAAATGGATATGGGACTGAAGACTTAGATTTCACTACTACATTTACTTACTTGAATGTAAGTTTTTTTTTTAAAAAAAATGTTTTTATTAGGTATTTTACATTTTTAAAATCAAGAACACAATAACAAAAGAAATACAAAAAAGAAAAAAAGAACATACACATACATCAAAGGTTAAAATACAAAACTAACAACATTTATATACAATTTTACAACTTTCTGCATTGACATTTGTCTTTACATTTAAATTCCATCTTCCTAATCCTTTTCTTATTTTTGTATGCCCATAATTAACATTTTTGTAAGCAGGATTGCTACATATATTTATATCCAGTGTATTAATACCGAATTTCAGTTTATATTCTTATTTCTACTTACTTGAATGTAAGTTTTATTGACTTTGGTGGTCAGTCTTTTGAGTCATGTATAACATTGATGCTCGGGTTTCATATTGAAGTCCCACCCAGGATTCTGTCAAGGAAACGTAGAGCTACCAGAGCAAAACTAAAAAGACATTTTTATTCATTCCTGTAAACCCATTAGATAGACCTGGAAAATTTGGGCCCTTTCACCTTAAACTCAGCAGCTACCACATGGATGTTGAATTGTTTTTAATGCCCTTTGTGCTACAGTCCAGAAAATATCAGAAATTAAAACTTTCAGAAGTAATCTGGGCTTCACTTCTTGCCAACATGAGAAATTTGCCCTCAGTATTCTCTTCAGATATCCCAAATGTTCTTATTTCAGACCACAGCTACCAGTAAAATTAATAACTGTTATCCCTCGGGCTTGTTCCCCCACATACAATGGCAGCTCCCAGAATTTCTCAATTCAAATCTTTATTGTCAGTGCACAACATATGTACAATGAGATTGGTTATATTCTCATAAATAGCTATTCAACCTGTGCTGAAATAAACCTGTAGCCTATGTAATAGCAAGTTCTAATTCATCCTTTTCTCTCTTTAAAGACTGTAGGGTTGGCAGTGGCAGAGACTACCGTGGACATGTTGCAACCACAGCGAAAGGCAGGACCTGCCAAGAATGGCAAGCACAGGTTCCTCATGAGCATACTTCTTTCACACCAGAGACTCACCCAAGGTCAGGACTGGAGAAAAATGTAAGTACCATTGACCACAAGAATCAGATCCCTGATTTAACAATTGTCAATAAGACAAAAAAAAAAAAGTCTGAATAGTGGACACGTAGTACCTGGAAACAGGAGAGAGAAAGAGAGAGAGAGAAGAGAAGAGAAGAGAAGAGAAGAGAAAGAGAAGAGAAGAGAAGAGAAGAGAAGAGAAGAGAAGAGAAGAGAAAGAGCTGGAGAAAAATCACAAAAGACAAAAACTTGTAAATAGAAGTAGAAGGAGTATGGCAAAAGAAAGCAAAGATAGCACCAAAATAATAGGCACCTTGTATACAATCGCAAAATATCTGCTACATACCACCAGCCTTGATAAGCGGACAATATCTCTTGCTCTTGGACATGATTTCTTCTTTTTCTATCCTTCCCTTCTCCTCAATCAATATTCCATATCTTGCTCTAAAATTTGTTGTGTTAGAAAAGATGACACTATAGTAGTAAATTGAAATCAGTTACTACAATGTATTTTTTAAAATCCTGCATTTATTATTATTCAAGTGGCTAACATAATGCTAATGCTCCTGCCTTCTCCTGTTTTTCCTATTGCAACAACCCTGTGTGGTGGGTTGGGCTGAGAGAGAGTGACTGGCCCAAAGTCATCCAGCCAACTTTCATGCTTAAGGAGGGAGTGGAACTCACAGGCTCCTGATTTCTAGCCTGGTGCTTTAACCACTAGACCAAACTGGATCTCTAGCTTCTTAGTCTCTTAGGTTATTTGCATAACCTAATTGAAAATAAGACACTGCAAGACTCAGACACAATTGAGGTTACTTAATCATAGTTAAGGCTACTAAAAGAAGTGTAAAGATTTGTATTTGTGACAGGAGAAATGGAAGGTAGCAAAAAGGCTCACTCTTGAATGGCAGACCATGATTCCTGAGCAAGTCAATATCATGTTGGTACTATATGTACCATATTTTTCAGACTATATGATGCACTTTTTTGTCTCCCAAAAGGGGGCAAAAATGTCTGTGCGTCTTATAGACTGAATATTGCCAAAGCCCCGCCCACCTGCCAGCCATTTTTTTTTTTGCCTCAGCATGTCCTGTTTTCAGGCTTTTTTTCAGCCTTTTTTTGACCATTTTTGAAGCTTTTTTCAGCCCATTTTTTCTGAAAAAATGGTCCCAAAAAAGCCTCAAAAATGGCCCCAAAAAGCCTCAAAAACAGGCCAAAAAAGCCTCAAGAATGCCTCCCCCAAGCCTTGAAAACAGCCCCAAAAGCCTCAAAAACAGGCCAAAAAAGCCACAAAAATGGGCCACAAAAAGCCTTGAAAATGGGCCAAAAAAAGCCCTGGAAACAGGCCGAAGAAAGACTGGAAAAGGCCCAAAATAAGGTAGGCCAAAACATTTTTTCCCCTATTGTTTGATGTTTTCCTATTCTAAATTTAGGTGCGTCTTATAGTCAGGTATGTCTTAAGAGTCCAAAAAATACGGTAAATAAATAACTACTACTGTGTTTCCCCGGAAATAAGACCCTGTCTTATATCTTTTTGAACCCTGAAATAAACGCTTGGCCTTATTGCCTTGTGCTCAAAAGCCCGATTGGGCTTATTATCAGGGGATGTCTTATTTTGGGGGAAACAGGATATTTCACCTTATATTTCCATACCTATATTCATTTTATTATTCCAATATTTACTTGGGCTGCATTTTTAAAAATAGAATAGAATAGAATAGAATAAAATAGAATAACAGAGTTGGAAGGGACCTTGGAGGTCTTCTAGTCCAACCCCCTGCCCAGGCAGGAAACCCTACACCATTTCAGACAAATGGTTATCCAACATCTTCTTAAAAATTTCCAGTGTTGGAGCATTCACAACTTCTGCAGGCAAGTTGTTCCACTTATTAATTGTTCTAACTGTCAGGAAATTTCTCCTTAGTTCTAAATTGCTTCTCTCCTTGATTAGTTTCCACCCATTGCTTCTTGTTCTACTCTCAAGTGCTTTGAAGAATAGTTTGACTCCCTCTTCTTTGTGGCAACCCCTGAGATATTGGAACACTGCTGTCATCTCTCCCCTAGTCCTTCTCTTCATCAAACTAGGTATACCCAGTTCCTGCAACCATTCTTCATATGTTTTAGCCTCCAGTCCCCTAATCATCTTTGTTGCTAAATAGTGAAGCTAAATTTAGTCCAGTCTTATTAATACCCATGTTTCCCAGAAAATAAGACTGGGTCTTATATTAATTTTTGCTCCAAAAGACACACTAGGGCTTATTTTCCAGTTAGGTCTTATTTTCAGGGAAATATGGTCCAAAATGTGTCTGTCTGTCTGATGATCTTAACTGGGGCTTATTTTGGGGGGTATGGCTTATATTACGAGCATCCTGAAAAAATCATGCTAGGGCTTATTTTCTGGTTGGGTCTTATTTTCAGGGAAACACGGTATTATTTTATTTCTTTATAGTACTGCAGAAATCCTGATGGTGATTCAAACGGTCCTTGGTGCTATACAACAGATAAAAATACAGGCTGGGAATATTGTGATGTTCCGCAGTGCCGTAAGTACACTATTAATAAGTGCATTATTTAGGGGAGGGGGTAAGAAATCCTTGTTTAGTGAGAAATAATGATGGATGTGGCCACAGTGGGATGACCATAACTGGCAATGACTATTTAATTTTTATCATCTTCTCTTAGTCTGCTTTTCACTGTATAATTTACTCTCCCTGCCCAAAATTATTCTCCTCACATTCAGTTGAGTAATTTAGATGTAAGAGTGGTCCAGATTAAGGCCAATTGATGTTATGTCCTAAGCATTGCCCAACAATGATGTCCCTCTGCCCTTCCGTTGTTTAACCGACAAGACATTAAGACTCAATAAAAGTAGAGTTGAATGTTGCAGTGAAAGAATTGAGAGCAGGATAACTGAGGGGGGAACTCTGTGTTGCTCCCCCACTGGCCTTAATGGCCTAAACACAGGCTTATTTTTCTTAATGATTAATTACTGAAGAAGATAAAGGGTGCAGCCAGTAGTTAGACTGCTGGTTCCCATTGCTGACTTCTCAATTTCATTTAAAAGGTTTTATATCATCTTTCTCTCTCATCTCTCATCTATTGTATCTATCTATCTATCTATCTATCTATCTATCTATCTATCTATCCATCTCTGTCTGTCTGACTGTCTGTCTGTCTATCCTATCTATCTATCTATCTATCTATCTATCTATCTATCTATCTATCTATCCATCCATCCATCCATCTCTCTCTCTCCTCTGTCTGTCTATCTATCTTTATCTATCTATCCATCCATCCATCCATCCATCCATCTCTCTCTCTCATCTCTGTCTGTCTGTCTGTCTGTCTATCTATCATTTATCTATCATCTAAAAGATATCATCTAATCTATCAACTATATCAATCTATCATCCATCCATCCACCTGACTGTCTGTCTGTGATTATGATGTACCATGACAATCAAAATGTTTCAGTAGTTTACACAAAAAAATTCCAAAGAGTTTCCCATGCTGAGCTAAATAAGTTGTTTTGATAACAGCAGCCATCTCTAATTCCCTGTCCTTACCCCATCATACACAAACACATGGTGCATACGGTTCTCTTAAGATACCCCAACTGAACTATTTCAGGCCTCAGCTATTGACAAAATTAATAACTCTTAACCTTTGGACCTATTTCTCTACAGACAAAGGCAATTCTCAGGATTTTCATTAAAGGAAATAATTATTGAACCTTTGCTATAGTGTGCATACCTTACATGTCTCCCATTCATATTTCAGCTGATTCTGCTGATGATGGATGTGGAAAAGCCAAATATTCACCGCTTCTATGTTTTGGAAGAGTTGTTGGTGGCTGTGTTTCAAATCCTCATTCTTGGCCCTGGCAGATCAGTCTCCGCGTTCGGTATTAAATATAATATATTTATAATATAAATATCATACATACTGATGTTGTAGGTAAAATAGGAGGAGGAAGGAATGTTAGGTACTTTTGCTACCTTAAGCTATTTATAAAGATAATAAAGGTAAAATATAGATAAATAAATAAGATTATTTATTATACTTCTCATCCACCCAATAAGCAAAAATCTCTGTTGTTATATTCTGGGCTTGGATTGTGATTTTCTCCTTTGTTCTATTTGATTTACTATTTTTACTCTGCATTTGTTCTTCTGTTTATTGTTCAGGGCTTGTACCTTCCTTATTTGAAACTTTTCAATGAATTTGCTTATTGACCAGATTATTTTTTCTAAAGTTGTAAATAGCAGCCCATCTTTCCTTGCCAAAGCTAGTTCCTATATACAAATTGCCCTCGCTTAATGACCATTTGTTCAGCAACCATTCAAAACAGTGCTGAACAAAGGAACTTCTGAGGTACACCTGAGCTTGCAGTCACACAATTGTAATCTATGCATTTGGCAAACATTCATACTTACAACAAATTGCCAAGTGCCTCATGATCATGTGATCACCATTTATAGTCTTCCCTGCTGGTTTCCCCAGAAAGTCATCAGGGAAGTCGGCAGGGAAAGCCGCACACCGTTGCCACCTGGCTGGTTCCAAGAGGCTGACTGAAAATGGTCCATCCTGAAATCTAAGCTTGGATTTCTGCCTGGGTTTCCAAAATGGATCTTTTTCAGCCAGTCTCCTTGAGAGCAAAAATTGCTGCTTGCCAGAGAGGCCGAGTCTCACCGTCAAGCAGCGGGTTTTCTCTCAAAGGGGTTGGGTTAAAAATGGTCTGTCATGAAGGGACTTCTTCATTCAGCCTCATTGGTGGATTGATTTCAGTCCGCTTGGGGCAGAGTTCTCTGGCAGGCAGAGGCAGGAGAATTGCAGCACTGAGCTGGAGAAGAGAAGCTCAAAGAAATTCAATGATGAAAATCCAGGTTCTTTTCTCCAGCTTTGCACTGCAGTTCTCTTTTGCCCATGGAGGGGAGAGCTTCAGCAGGCAGTTCTTTTGCTCCATCCACTTAATAACTACACCTGGGTAAGCCAGGAATGTCAAATAATGTCAAATCAGATCAGGGGGTGACCTGCCTTATACTCATCATGACTTGCAGCTCAATTATGGTCATAAGTCTAAGGTTGTAAGGACTACCTGTATACCCTAGTTACTGAGGGCAGACAGAATATATTATTCCACATGGGTGAAATTAACTTGAATTTTGCTTCCAGACAAGCAGTAAAGCCTTTATCCTCTCACTAAATCTTGGTACCAAATGTTCCCATGTTTGCAGCACCAACGTCCTTCTCTGAGCCTTCTCTTATGTGGCTGACATGTAGATACAGTTATCTCCAGACATCACTTTGGATGAGGAAGAGAGGAGTTAATTGTGCAATGTTGAATCACTCAGGATCTTTCCCCAGCTGCATCTAACCATGGCACAAATATGCAGTGGCAACATCATTTCTGCCACCGGTTCAAGATGTTGGTTTCATCTCTTAACTATTGCCCTTAACTATACGCCACCTAGGCAGCTCTCTAGGTGGCTCAGTGGCTAAGACGCTGAGCTTGTCGATCAGAAAGGTTGGCGGTTCGAATCCCTAGTATAGGTTTCTTGTGTGAGCTGGGGGTTGGACTAGATGACCTCCAAGGTCCCTTCCAACTCTGTTACAGTTACTGTTACTATACCTTTATTAAAATAATGTCTCTCCTCATATTGTGATGCTGCCCCAAAGTAGTCTGAAAGGGTATGAAATATCCTCAACTTTGTCACCCAGCTTTCTGTAAGAGAGTCAGCTGGTTATATTGACTTCAATAGAAGTAACAGCAGAGACAGGACTAGGATTGCTTACAACTTTCATTCTGGTATGGTTTTTCTCCCAAGTCATTGATCAGTGGATAGAAGCACTTCAGTTCAACAGTGGTGAAAGGACCTCACTCTATACAGTGTGTTCAGAATAACAGTAAGAGAAACAACAACAATCATAATACATGTAAAGGCTCTCTCAAATGACATTTGACTCCTGTAAACTTTATAGCCATGTTTCAGTGGCAATACCTGGAAGTGTTTTGCCAATGCTTTTAACTCCCAAGTCAAGAATGCAACTGTGAAATCTCCATGTGATCTCCCATCCTAGCCAACTCTGTCCCTGTTTAGAACAGTGTCATGAGCAATTATTATCCTTTTAACATTTACCTTGTACTACTGAAACTGTGCTTTTTTGCATTCCATTGTTGCTTTCCCTAATGGTTTACATCTGTCTCGCATCTGCTTGTAATACGTTGTTAATTTAGATATAACTTTGCATGATAGAGCCATAAAGCCCAAAGCCATAATAAATCTGCTAATACTTAAGGTAGTACAAGATTCTGCTTTGCAAATATGGCTTCAGACTCTGAATTTATTAGTCTCAAAGCAGCAAGAAAAGAAGTGCCATTCAGTTTGTTGTGAACTGTTGCAAATTTAAGCCATTTCATGGATGCTGGTATTAGCTCTGTGTAATGCGTGAAAATAAGGAGATTGAATAATGAATGGACCGCCTCTGATTTCTATGTGAATTATTTACTATAAAACTAACCTTCTCTTTCCTTTTTTTTCCAGGTACAACAATCTACATTTTTGTGGAGGCACCTTAATAAAGCCACAATGGGTTCTGACAGCAACTCACTGTTTAGACCGGTAAAACCTTTATTTGTACACTGCCCAGAGTCCCTTTGTGAGGGACTTCGAAATATGATAAATAAAAATAAAACTTCCCTTGAGCAAGAGCCCATATTTTCCCAATCCAACACTATTGCAATGGGTTGAAATGTCAACTGGCAAAATTCACAACCTGGAATTCTGGGAGTTGTAGTCATTCTATAGCTAGAAAACATCAGGATGCAGTATTGTATCTGGGCTGCAGAAATTCAGATGATCATCAGTTAGCAGCAAAGAGTTAGAGCTTTCTGTGTCTATTTGGGACTAGAAATCAAAAGAAAGCAATGTGTAATTTCTGAGAATTAATATACTGTTAACAAAATTGGAAAGCTTTCCATTGGACATGACCAATTGACAGCAAGGCTTCCTTATAGATCACAGATTGTGGCTTGGTTTACAGTTTGTTCCAAACCATAGTATGATTTGTTTGGATCTGGCTTTGGGATGTTTGTAAACATCTCTGTTGTGGCCTGGCATTCCTATCAACTGGGTTCCCAGAAGAACCTGATGGCAAAGGGGTTGGACTGTATTTTCACTAGAATAGACGTATAGACACAGACATAGATATCTATATACTATGCAAAAGAGACAATCAACAAGCCAAAAAGAGAACAAAAAGACGAAAACACCTTCCCACCAGCAGTCAATACCCAGATATGCATAGATTAACACAAAGATCAACAAGAAATAAACAATACCCCAATCAAGGAATTGCCAAACCAGCTAACAGTAAACAAAAATGTAACAAATGTAAACAGTAAACAAAAACAGGTAATGAAATGTTCGGAAACCAACCTACAAGCTCAGAGAACGAACCTTCACCTTTATCCTACACCCGAGCTACAGATATTCATCACTATTGCTAACAGTAAACAAGCCAACTAAAAAAGCTCCAAGAACACTCCCACCAACTCTGACAGGGCAAGCCACTAGAATATAAACTGAGAGCAAACCCCTCTCCTTACTAGCAGTGATGATGTTTGGGTAATAAAACATCCACAAACTCAGAGGACACCAAGGACCCCTCATACATTTTCTGTTTCTCAGCTACTGTCTCTGAGTAATTGCACATGGACAAAGGCTGTAGCTCCAGGATGAGAAGATCTTGCCAATGTCAGTACTTAATTGACATTTCTGTCCAGGGTTGACAAGGACCTGCATCTAAAGCCTTGGAAACCACTTGCTAAGTGGCATAGTGGTAATAGTGAGCTGTATAGTATGGAATAGTGGTCTGGCTTGGTGTTTCAGCTTCCTTTGTTTCTCTGTAAAGAACAAATAGCTCCAACCAATGATGTATAGATTGTAGATTAACAGCAATTAATGCCAGTTAGTAAGTGAATATAATTAAATAACTATTGGCATCTGAATGCTTGGTATTTGATATTCTGGTTTTCCATAATTCCCCCAAATGTTCCTACTGAAACAGTGATTTCTAATCATTTAGCTTGTTAAATCCAGCACACACACACACACACACACACACACACACACCACAATTCTCAGAGCTAGCCTGGCCCTATTTGTCCTCCCTGCAGACTTCCATAACATAGATCCACCTATGGTTCCAGTCTTCAGAAATTCTCACTGAATTGCCCTCTACCTAAGTTGTCGATCTATGAAGATATTCTCACCTGGGGAATTTGTCTTTTGTAGGTCATCAAGTCCTAGTTTTTACAAAGTGTCGCTCGGCCTGCACACAGAGGAAGCTTCAGAACCATCCGCCCAACATCGCAACGTTCAGAAAATATTCAAAGAACCATATCGGGCAGACATTGCCTTGCTGAAATTAAGCAGGTATCCTTTGGGTGACAATATTTATCTTTAATACTGTCTCTCTCTCCCCTCCATTCCAAAACTCCTTGCTGTGAATATACTAACATTTCTAAAATGACATTTGAATTGATCCAATTTCATTATGGTACAATGCTCGTCTGAAGTAGTGTTGATGCATACCGTGCTTCTGTTTTTAAGTGGTTGCATTGTTGTTATGGACAAAATCATTGCAACTGAGATAAGCTTCTTGCATGGAAGAGTATCCATATAGTTCTTTTTTTTTAATTGACATAGATTGGTTTGCATACAATTTAGAAGGAAGAACATTAACTTCAAATTTGGCTTTAGCAGTAAATATATGGGGAAGTAATCTACAACAACAGTATACTTAGAGCTTTTATTGCACAATACCTAAGTTTAGGTTCACTAAAGATAAAAACAAAGAGTTGTTCTACCAGGTGACTTATTTTTATTACTTATTTCTTAGATTTATGTCTTTCCTTTCTTCCAGGAGCTCAAGGTGGGATGCATAGCATTCCATCCACACAAGTTAATGTTTCTCCAGTTCTTGGTTATCTGTTCCCAATTCCTCTTAGAGTAGTCATAATCATAATCATAAGTTTATTTGTCATGCATATATAAGATAACAAGTAAAAGTATAAACATAATTTGAATACATGAAAAGAATAAGTAAAAAGGAATATTAGGACAGGGACAGTAGGCACGCTGGTGCATTTATGCATGCCCCTTGGTAACTTATGTGTGGATTTCAACTCCCAGTTATCATTCCCAGAATTTTGGGAGTTGAAGTCCACACATCTTAAAATTGACAACTTTGAGAAACATTGCTCTAGAGAATAAATTCACTCTGGAATAGACAATGCACTTCCTGGAAATTTTGTCTTTGGGTAGATTCCAGCTTAAATTTGGGGAGTTTCCATAATTTTTCTTTTTCTTTCTCTCTGACCACCCCCTAACCTTGATATACCTTCCTGCTCCTTTGCTTCCAGAGAAGTGTAAATACAGTAAGCCCTCTACTTACAGAGTTCACTTAATGACTGTTCAAATTCACAATGGCACTGAAAAAAAGTGATTTACGACTATTTTTCACCCTCACAACAATTGTGGCATCCTCATGGTCACGAGATCAAAATTCAGACGCTTGGAAACTGACTCCTATTTATGACAATTGCAATGTCCCAGGGTCTTGTGATCACCTTTTGTGACCTTTTGACAAACAAAGTCAATCGGAAGCCAGATTCACTTAACAACTGTGCTACTATCTTAAAAACTACAGTGATTCACTTAACAACTGTAGCAAGAAAGGTCGTAAAATGGGGCAAAATTCACTTAACAACTGTCTTGCTTAGACAGTTTGGACTCAGTTGTGGCCACAAATCAAGGACTACCTGTTATCTTATTTCAAAACCCAGGCTTTTTTCAGCTCACTTGAGAAGACCCGCTTGAGATATTTGTGATTGTTTTGCTGGAAAATAGCTGACAATGTGAAATAGCAGGAAGGCAGGTTGACTTCACAAAAGACACAGTAGAGTAGTGTTTCCTGGCTGGCTGTGGAATTCTGGGAGTTGAAGTCCACCCATCTTAAAGTTGCCAAGGTTGAGAAACACCGCTCTAGAGGCTACAATGATGCTGAAGCTAATTAATGGTTTCTAATTCTTTATTCATACAACATTAAGATTCAATTCCATTATATCAAAGATTATCTCCTGGAGACAGTGCTTTTATGTAGGATGGCTCAAGGCTAATTATGGAATGCAACCCTCTTAACTGTTATATGAGATTATTTTTCTTTCAGAAAGTGACTGTAGCAGCAAGAGTTGTTTGACTTGAGGAATAGACTGACTGGAACAGGGAGATATACAATACGTGGTCACATACCATACAATGCTCAATAATAGCTACTGCTATTAATGTTTATGTTTATATTCATTTTAGAGATCAAATTCTGAAGTTTCATTGGCAAGTAAGCTGATTTCACAATGTGTAAAGTTCAGCCTCCTAGGAGTGTATTACTTAAAAAAAAATCCCGTGACTAACATACCAGCAGCTCCTGTGAGCCAGTTTGGTCTAGTGGTTAAGGCACAAGGCTAGAAAGCAAGAGGCCGGGAGTTCAAGTCCTGCCTTTAGCCATGAGATCCACTCACCTCAAAGGGTTGTTGTTGTGGGGAAAATAGGAGGAAGTGTGTTGGATATGTTCGCCACATTGGGTTAGTGGCAAAAAAATTATAAAGGTGGGAGATGCACCCAGTGTAATATAATAGAGTGACTAGAATGAAAAGAGCGGCAATATCATTTTTCTTCCAGCCCAGTAAAGATCACCAATGAAGTCATTCCAGTCTGCTTGCCTTCATCCAACGTTGTTGTAGAAGGTGGAGCAGAATGTTATGTCACAGGATGGGGTGATACAAAAGGTGAGTAACCTCTGAGTGATTAAAAATTCAAAAGTACCCACCATTCTGTTTTCACATTTCTCCCCTTCCCATCTTTTTGTATCGATGGCTATAAAACTGATGAATTTGTATTGATGGATTTTATCTCCCATACATCTGGGGAGACTTAGGAAGGAAGGAAGGAAGGAAGGAAGGAAGGCTTTCATATTTATTATCTGGACACGACACAATTTAGTCACTATGGGAAGTTTGAAAAAAATATATTTATTCATGGGGTAGACTTTACAATAGCTTTTCAAGCTTCTGGATGGTTCTTGGACGGGTAAATTCCATCACAGTGATGGCTAAGGTAGAGATCAATTTTAATTCAACAAGGAAATGAGTTCTACTTGTATTAGAGACTATACAACCCCACACAAATTATACACATTTCTGTTTTTAACAGGGGCGGCCATATAATTTTAATAGGAAAATATTTTGCAAGATACTTGGTTAAGACTAAAAGACTAAAGTCATTTAGTGACCATTTGCAGGTATGACAGTGATGAAAAAGTAACAACTCCTCACATTTATGACCTTCACAAGTCTGTAAAGCAAAGGAAACCTGCAGTAAGATAGTAAGCACAGTGGTGGTTTTTCCACTTGTGATTGGTAAATGAGGATTACCTGAACTAGATTTGAGCTGCAAGATCCAAATGACCACCAGATGGCAGCAAAAGGTTACACTTTTTTAGTTTTTGAGCTGCAAGGTAGCAGTCATATGGAATTTTTAGGGATTAACAGGGTCGGAAAAAGGGAGAATTTATATATATAGTGTTATACTTGGTGATGATGACGCTTTCTTAAGCATATTAGAATATAATTGATTTCATTTTATACCATGGAGAAATCATGTCTGCATCCTGAAGCTTTAAGTAACATTTCCATTTAAAAAAGCTAGAAGAATGTATCTGATCCCATTCTTACCAGATCAGGAAACATATAACAGAGCTGGAAGGGATCTTGGAGGTCTTCTAGTCCAGCCCCCTGCTCAGGCAGGAAACCCTATATCATTTCAGACAAATGGTTGTCCAAATGTTTCTTAAAATTTTTCCAGTGTTGGAGCTTTTACAACTTCTGGAGGCAAATTGTTCTACTGATTAATTATTCTGTCAAGAAATTTCTCCTTAGTTCTAGGTTGCTTCTCTCCTTGATTAGTTTCAATTCATTGCTTGTTGTCCTGCCTTCAGGTGCTTTGGAGAATAGGTGGACTCCCTCTTCTTTGTGGCAACCCACAAAGAAGGAACACTGCTATCATGTCAGCCCTAGTCCTTCTTTAAACCAGACATGCCCAATTCCAGCAACCATTCTTTACATATTTTAGCCTCCAGTCCAGTAGTGGGTTTCACTTACCTTCGCTTCCGGTTCGGAACTGTGAGCTTCGCTCGTGCCCAGCACTTCTGCGCATGCACAGAACCTTCTGCATATGCGCAGAGCATCCATTATAATGTCCAGAAGGTGGGCGGAGCCTCCCGCCACTGCCGCTACCGGTTTGCCTGAACTGGTCCAATCCCCTAATTATCTTTGTTGCTTCTTCTCTGCATTATCCTGTATGGGTTTTCCTTTCATTATTTCCTCCCTCCCCTTTGCTTTTCAAAGGAACTGGTGGAGAAGGCTTACTTAAAGAGACCGGCTTCCCTGTCATTGAAAATAAAGTGTGTAACCGGCCTGAGTTTCTAAATAACAGAGTCAGAAACCACGAACTCTGTGCTGGTAATATTGATGGTGTATCTGATAGCTGCCAGGTAAGATATGGCATGTTGGCTTTGTCAATAAACCCAAGGATGTTTCATTTTTCCCCCGGTGAAAATGCCACCCTCAGAGGATTTTTCCCTCTAATTATTACAGCAAGTGAGGAAAATATTCATTTTATATCTTGAATGTGGGTGTGTGACACAGCCTGTTTCTGGGCTGTGTTGAGGATGTCTTTATGATTCTCCAAGCTATTATTTGTTTTATTCCTTGTTTATTTTATCTTTGTATATACTTTTATTTGTTTTAATATTGTGAGCCACCCAGGAGCATATGCTGATATGGGTGGCTGTATAACTCAACCAATTAATTAAATAAATAAATTTAATTAATTAAATAAAATAAATATCTTCTTACCGAAGAACCCACCCAGTTCATGTTATTTGTAAAACATCCACCCTTTGGGTCTAGTTTGACCCTCATGAAGTCCTTTTTAAGAGATTGTCAGGCAATAAAAGTCATCCAGTGAGAATGATGTGTAACTCATCTTAGAGCTATGTTGATTTCTCTTGCGCTCCTGGTTCATTTTTTCCCCAAATGCTCGGTTCCAGGGTGACAGTGGAGGCCCCTTGGTCTGTGAAGAGCAAGGAAGATATGTGCTACATGGAGTAACCTCCTGGGGTCTGGGCTGTGCCCAGCCCATGAAACCTGGCGTTTATGTGCGAGTGTCTCGCTTTATTCCATGGATCGAAAGAATTCTGAGAGAAAATTGAGCTGCCAATAACCTCTTGCCGAAAGCAACAAAGAGAAAGAAGAATAAATAGAATTGAAGTGCAATATAATGAAATAATTTACATGAATGTAAAATAAATACCACGAATATCCTGTAAGCAACTCTTTCTTTCTTTCTTTGTTGGTTAACACTGGTTTACAAGGTGCCTGAGTTTATGGAACAGTCAGCTGTGTTAGTTATGATGTAGAAAATCTGAGGAAATTGAATTGCTAACATTTGGCAGGATAAATAGCCACCGAAGGAGGAAACTTCTTGGTATGATAGCATGACTTTTGGGACACATGGCATCTAGATTGCCTGCCTGCCTGCCTGCCTGCCATGTCATCTACCTACCTACCTATCTTAGTATCCAGAATAATACAATATGTTCCAAAAAGAAAGGCTCTTTCTTAAGATGAAGTGGAGAAAGATTTCTACAAAATTTCTATACAGCAATGTTGGATGACTATGATGGTGGACCATTCATCTCTTTCTACAAATGGCATTATACAGTATCTTTAATGCTGCCTTGTATGCATTGCTCATTCAGTTTCATAAGGACCATGAGTAAAAATTCACCAAGAAATGTTTCCCCAAGTTATAACTGAATACGCATGTGCAACATTCCTTTCTGACTATTTCATGGTGGCTGGGGAATTCTGGGAGTTGAAGTCCACAAGTCTTAGAAGTTGCCAAGTTTGGAGATCCCTGGTCTGGGCCATCTAGATTTGTTGGGATCTCTTTGGAATACATGCTCAACCTTATATGTTGCCTTAGAAGTGAAACATGCCATATAATCACATTCTTTCATACTCATTTTGTTATCCAAAAGCATTTAAATTTTAGTCTAAAATTCACTTTCTTCTGGATCCTGCAACCTTTTCCTGGGACACATATTTTTGCCTTCATTCATACCAAGAACTATTGTTAAGCTAAATATTAACAGTACCTGCATTTTTTGTATCTTTAACCTCTCTAACCATGGCTGGGCTAATCTCTGGAACTTGGGTGCATCCAAGACAAGCTAATAATTTAATACCAGCTCGTAATGCTAACTGTGCTGAGGATAAACATGGAAAGCTGTTTCTAATAGAAAGCTAATTTCTAATCCCCAGGCCAACTTGAAAATCACTGTTGAGTCTGCGTCAAGAAACAATTTTATAGTCTTATCCACACCACAGCATTATTATGAGGACAAAGGTGATAGACATGTGCTTGTTCTGGACATATGGCTTGAATCCATAGGAAGCGGAGTTAATTCCTACATTTCTTGTAGGAATGTCTTTATTTATTTATTTATTTATTTTTGCTTTAATTTATATGTACCTTTGAAATAAGGAACATATTTCTTTGAAAATGTTTTCAAAATTCCATTCTGATCCTGATGAAATGAATGGCTTCTGGCTGATTCTTTGTAAGCTGACAATACTTTGAAAAAAACGGTGTTGCAAATTAGTAAAGAGAAAGGAGATAAGATCCTGTAGTAAAACAAAATATTTAATGAAAGTGATTACTCTTCTATGAGAGCCACATATAATAGTTCCCTATCTGGAAACAATAGGTTTTGAAAATATGTTCATATTTACCCCATAGAAAAATTCTATGCTTACTTTATAAAAAGGTTCTTTTAGGGTTTATGACATAATTGAATTCATCTCCTCCAACAGGAAGATGCTGTCCAGCGGTTGTGAATTTGAAAACCGGGTAGCTCATGAGGTTTTGCAATATTAACAAAAGATCAAACTTCTTTGCTGGAATTTTGCTGCTTGTTTTTTTCACAAAAGCCATTGAAACTGCATAGAGAAGAAATAAAAATAAGTTTATAAGCAATTGTCTTTATTGGGCAGACTGATTTTAGCAGAAAAGCTGTTTCTTTAAAGTCATTTTTGAGACTGAATCTCACTTCATAAGGTGCACTGGCATTTTTTAAAATAGGCAGCTCAAGAGGGCCCAATTTAGGTTGGGTTCACAAATAAAGATCAAAGTGAATTTCCTCTTGTATCAAGGAGCAGATGAACATTGATGGTCCTCTCTCCTAAATTAGGGAGCGCTGTGATCAGACTACGATCAAGGAGATAGCATTGCAATTCCAACTTACCTAGCATCACACTGAAGTATAACGGGGCTAGCTTTGGCTTAGCATGTTGTGTGAACTCAGCTATTGTGGCTTAGATTAATTTAGCTACTATGTTATAAAAACAATCAATAGCTTAATGTGAGTACAAACTGTTCTACTATAGTTAGCCTAACCTATTTTGAATAATTGTGATAATTAGAATGGTAACAGGTGAAAATAAATGCTGCTTCCATTTTCTTGGAAGAAGGTAAAATAGAGATGCTATACTGTGCTAAGACAATTTTATTCATACTGGGGGGGGGATAAAATTAATTCCCTCTGCTCTTATGCTGCTTCTAGTCCAAATTGGTCCTTGCAATGACTTTTTTTTAAAGAAAAAACAACCATACATGGATGTCAAGGTGCATGAATACACACACATATAGATGCATAGATGCATATGTATTTAGTGTATAGTTTGTGCTAAGTTTCTCAAAAATTGTTGAACTAGACTTAAAGTCTAGAATTAATCATCGGAAGGCTGAATTTTCCAGAGGGTATGAAAGAATATCTAAGGATACATATATTCTCTTCTAAGGATACTTAGTCAGTACCTTAACATTTTCTCCACATCTTCTACTGTCTCTGGTAAGGGCTGCCCCTTGGTCTCAGGTAAAAGTAGCACCAGAATTCCACAGAGAAGAGAAAGTATGCCTACGAAAAAGTAAAGGAAAAAATATATCAGGCTTTAGACATTTGTCCTGGAATTTTCTTGTAATTCTACTGTTTGTGCTGGAAAAAAAATACAGCTACAGTTAAATAGTTTTCTTATGTAGGGCACATGAAAAGGTCTAAATGAGCTGATTAAAATCCCATGAAATATTGCAGTGAGGCAGCATCTTATGTATTTAAAATATAGGTTCAAAACTGAGGTATAACTTATCCAATTGTATCAGAATAAGGATTTGGGCCGAATATCTTGACACTGCATTGAGAATGGAGTATATATGAGAGGTGGACCTGAGATAGAATCCTGTCATAGTCCTATAGATGGTGATCCACAAATCAATTTTCCCACCTGGAGCTCCTCAGATATGATGGATTATAAATCTCATACTTATTAGGGTCAGATTTGTTGGGAATTATACTTGGGAAGATTCTATAGAGTCAGGTTCCTTAAGCTGAGCTCAACTCCTGATGACTACATAGGTACAACTATGCCATTTGGGTGGGGGGGACAACAATATGGATGTGATTTTTTAGAATTGTGTTTTCTTAGCAAGAATGCTATAATTTAAGTTTTTCTGGTTCATTATGATTTCAGAACCAGCTCTTGCACTTATGGGGGAGTTTTTCCAAACACCTAAGGTGCAGAATAATATATTAGTCTGGATTGAAACATAAGGATCAGCTGACAGCATTATTTTATTTATGGAATAATATTTTATTCTATTTTAATTGTAAAACAGTGACCGCAGAGTCAGAGATAAATTCAATTAAAAATAAATTCCAGTCCTTAACACAGTTTATTTTCTTCTTTAACTGTATAAAATGAACGTAATGAGGTCAGCAACACGGAGGTCATTTTGGGATGTACACTATTCTTACAGGAAACTAAATTCTTGGGCAAAAAAGTAGAGGTAGTTCTCAACTTACAACAATTGAACCCAAAATTTCCATCGCTAAGCAAGGCAGTTGTTAAGTGCATTTCAACTCAGGTTATGACCATTTTCTGCCACAGTTAAGTTGTTAAGCAAATCTGGCTTTCTCCCTTGACTTTGCTTGTAAGAAGTTCGTTTGGAAGGCTACAAATGGTAATCACATGACTCCGGGATAGTGCAACTGTTATAAACACAAGTGCTTGAAAATTGATCATGTGACCCTGGGGAAGACTACTTGTATTGTAGATGATCATCCTGAGTACTAAACTCACTTTTTATGCAAGCATTCTCCTAAACTCCATTGTGCGTTGTGATGTGTCTTTGGAAAGGAGGCATATCTCCAGGACAGCACTTAACAAAAGAAATTAAATCCCATCCCCATCTGCCATTTCTGCAATTCCTTCTCCTCCAAACCGTTTATCTCTGTGCAGAACTCCAGATGTGTTGGCATTTTTGTAAAGATATTTTACCAATGAGTGCAATTTTTGAGCAAGGTACAGTACAAATGATAAACATCTCTTCCCAACCCCTATCCTCTTTTGCTGAAAATCCCCTCTCTCAAAGTTGGTTTGACCACCACCAGCATACACTAGTTGTCAGTATGTGCATTTGCTCATGGCATTGTATTTTTAGTTCTGGAATGGCATCAACCTTGAGCTTTCTTCCAAACCAGCAAAAAAAGAGCGCAAATTTTGAAATAATTTCTTACAATAGACAATCAGAGGAAGCTCTGACCAGATGGCTGCTAATCGGTAAAGCAGAAATGGGGCTACCGTGCCCCCTATATCGCACATTCCTGAACATATTGAGATACCAAAGTTTCTGTAAGAAAAAGAAAAAACATCTTATTTATGAAGTATAGTTTTCAGTTTCAGATTAATATATTGACTCCTTTTCACCATATACCAAGAACTTTTCTATAGGCATGCAAGGTATCCATCACGTATGTCAGCAGCCTGCAACTTTTTGGGCACCAGGGACCAGTTCTGTGAAGAGAAGTTTTTCTGCAGTCCAAAGGGGTGTGGTTTTCTGTGCTGCCTGCATCCCATGGATGGGGCTTCGCTTCTTTGTGCGGCCTGGTTGCTAGCATGCAGCGGACCGGTTGGGGACCAGAGGTGGTATTCAGCAGGTTCTGACCAGTTCTGAAGAACCGGTAACAGAAATTTTGAGTAGTTCGGAGAACCGGTAAATACCACCTCTGACTGGCACCGCCATCTATTCTCTGCCTCTCAAATCCCAGCTGATCAGGAGGAAGTGGGGATTTTGCAGTAACCTTCCCCTGGAGTGGGGAGGGAATGGAGATTTTACAGTATCCTTTCGCTGGAATGGGGTGGGAATGGAGATTTTACAGTCTCCTTCCCCTGCCATGCCCACCAAGCCACGCCCACAGAACCGGTAGTA